AAGTTTGAAATTGTATATATACACGTACGTATTTACTTATTTATTTACTTACGTATTTGCTTTTCCTTTTTTAAATACTCTTTATCATGTATTTATTTTAATTTACTTAATTATTTTACTTTTTCGTTGCGCTACTTTGCTTTGCTTTGCTTTATTTTGCTTTACTTTGCTTTGCTTTGCTTTAACTTGCTTTGCTTTAACTTGCTTTGCTTTGCTTTAATTTGCTTTGCTTTGCTTTGCTTTGTTTTGCTTTGCTTTATTAAAAAAAAGTTTAAGAAAATGATCTTGCTAAGTTCGCGACGCTTCGTACTTAATCGACTTTTAAATATTTACAAAAAAAAAGGCTTTTGAATTAAATAAAATCTATTAGCTTGCATTTAAATTAATAAAGACGACGAAGATAATAAGAGAATAAATACTTATCTTCGTTTTCTTTAATAAAAATAATATTTATTAAATAGAAAAAGCTTAAGAAAAAGCTTGAAGAAGATAAATAAGAAAACAAAAAGATTCGCCGTCGATTCGATCTATAGCATCTTTTAACTCAATTCAAAAGACACGAGGTGAAATGAAATTTTCGTAGCTTAAATGAGAATGAATAAAATTATTAAATATATATATATATATATATTATTGCAATGTTGTGAGCAATGTTATAAGCAATATAAGTGTCTACGTTCCTCGCGGTTTTTAGCGTTGAAGCGGGACATAATTTTTTCGCGGGATATAATTTTTTCGCCCACTTTAGGGAAGGGCCCCAAAAGTTGCGACGTCAAGGCCCACTATTACCTATCTAGGTCAACTCACTCACTCACACGACCCAAATCCAAATCTGGAAAAAAAAAAAGGAAAAAAAGAGAAAGAAAAAAAAGAAACAAAAAAAAAGAAAGGAAAACACGACGACTTTTTACAAATTAAATAATTAACTATTTCTCTTTTTTTTTTAAAAAAAAACTCTTATTTTCTCTTTTTAATAATAATTTTTTTTTTAATTACTTCTTAAATCTAATCTA